GGCCGCCCTCAAGCCCTATCCCCGCCGGCCGCCGCCTGGCCCGCGCTAGGCCCGCCCCCCCCCCCCCCCCGCCCCCCCCCCCCCGGGCGCCCCCCCCCCCCCGCCCCCTGCCTGCCCCCCTTCCCCCCGGGACCTGCCCCCACTCCCCTGGGACACGGCACCCCCCGCATCGCTCCCCGCACCCGGCCCCACCGTCCCCCGCCTTGCCCCCGGCGCCCCGCAGCATCCTCCAGGTTGCCCCAAGCACCCCGGAGCGTCACTCGGATTGCCCCGAGCACCCGGGAGCATCCCCCGGACGGTCCCTGGCACCTACCCCGAGCACCCCCCGCATTAGTCCGGGCACCCCGGAGCACCCCCCGGCTCGCCCCAAGCATCCCGGAGCATCCCCCGGCTCTCCCCAGCCCGGCCCCGCCGCTCCAGCCCTACCTCCGGGGGAGATGCTCAACGTGATGGATTTCTCCTGCCCGGACACGCTTTATTCCAAATACGAGGAGAGCTGCGAGATGAAAACCGGAGATCTGCAGGGCTTGGGGCAGCCTGAGCAGCAACTTCTGGCAGAGGCCGATTTCCTCGGAGGTAAGGGCAGGGGGGAGCTGGGCAAGGATGAGGGACCCCGCTGGGAGCGATGGCTGCAGCCAGGAATCGGGCAACTCCCCCTCCTCTGCCCCCAGCCTGCTCCCAGCCCTTGGCTGGGGATTCAACAGCCCCCCACTAGCCCAGGGTGGGGGTCCTGGGGGTCCTATTGGGGACGGGGGGTGAAGCCCAGGGCTCCCTGTGCGATTCTGGGGATTCGGCTGGGATGGGGACCTCGCAGTGACGCAATCTCAGCCTCCCACTGTTCCCCCGTATCCCGCCCCCCTCCCTCCATCCCTGCATCCCTCCATCCCTCTAACCGGTGTCCCCTCTGCATCCCCAGGTGAGCTGCTGGGCGCCCCGGTGAGCGGCGGAGCGGTGGATTACTCCCTGCTGGGCAGCCAGCCCTCCCCTTCGCTCAGCTACACCGGCAGCTTCTTCATCAAGGCAGTACCGGAGCACCCCCAGGACCAGGAATCCCTCTTCAACCTGATGTCGGGGATCCTGGGCATCTCCCCCTTCGCCTCCTCCGAGGGTCACCAAAGGCACCTGGATGCTCTTTACCCCTGCCCCGAAGTGGCTCAGAGCCAGCTGGACCTTTACGCTGCCTGCCAGCCCGAAATGAACGGATCCACCCAAGCCCCCTTCCCGGAGCAGAGCTACAGCAGCTTCCCCACGGCGGAGGGTGCTCAACCCCTCCAGGCACAACCCACCTTAGGAAACACCTCGCAGTGCTTCTTCCAGCCCAAGCTCCTGGACAACAAGCAGGACATCAAGCTGCCCCCTGCTTCCCCGCCCTTGGACAAGTATAAAGCCTCCTGTGCCCAGTGGGAGCCTGTCACCCAGCATCAGGCCTACTTGCCCACTGGCTACCATTCTCCCGAAACCTTCCAGGCTGGGGAGGGCAGCCAAGGGCTGTTCCACCCACTGGGCTCCAAGATGGAGAACGTCTTGTCCGTCAGCTGCCAGTCGGAGCTCGGCAGCCTGGCGGAGGATGCTGCCTGCTTCAGCACCCATCTGGGCTTCAGCTGCGAGCCAGAGAACTTCCCGGCCCGTGGGGACTTTGCCGACACCAAGATCCACAACCTCCCTCCTCCATTAATGCCGGAGTTCGACGCCTCCCTGGCCCAGCCCGAAGTCCTGCCAGGTCTGATGAGCTCTGCTGAGCTCCTCCATCCTCACCCCTCGCCCTCCATCCCCCCCACGGACTTTTTGGGCCACCCTACCTCTTCCTCCATCCCTTCCCTGCTGCCCACCAACCCTCCTGCCTTGCCCGCCGAGCCCAAGAAGAAGACCCGCCGGACCAAGTGCTCTTCCAAATGCTTCTGCCCAAAACCCCACGAGAAGGCTTTCGCCTGCCCGGTGGAGAACTGCATCCGCAGCTTTGCCCGCTCGGATGAGCTCAACAGGCACCTCCGCATCCACACAGGCCACAAACCCTTCCAGTGCCGCATCTGCCTGAGGAACTTCAGCCGCAGCGACCACCTCACCACCCACATCCGCACCCACACCGGCGAGAAGCCCTTCTCCTGTGACACCTGCGGCCGCCGCTTCGCCAGGAGCGACGAGAAGAAACGTCACAGCAAGGTCCACCTGAAGCAGAAAGCCCGGACAGAGGAGAAGCTCAAAGGTTTGGGTTTCTTCTCAGTGGGTCTCTCCTTTGGGACACTGTGAAGCCACCACCTGAGCGCTGGGAGACGGGCGTTTCCCGAGGTCCCCTGAGCATCTCACGGGAGAGCCGGGGTGGGAATATCCTCCTGGGGTGGCCCCGGAGAAGACGACGACGGCAGATTGGGCCGTGCCAGGGAGGAGAGGGGCACGCAGGAGGCAGAGGCGATGCTGCGGCGCTGGACCACTGGCTGCGGAGGAGGGATATGGCAGCTCCGGCCACCCGGAGCCATCTCCAAACTGCAGGGACTGAGTCATTTTTATAGCTCCTGTTCCAAGGAGGGGAAAGGGAAAAACTGTGTACAGAAAGAAATCACCACTGAGATTGTTTCTTTGTTGTTTTTTTTATATATATACCCAAACCTACGGACGTCCTGCGTTTGTAGTGACCTGGCTGTGATTTCCCTGGTGGGCATGATGCTCCCAACTGGTTATTTACTGGTCAGCACGGTCGGGGGCTGCGGCTGCACCGGGCCTTTCTCCCAAAGGAGAGAGATGCCACCGGGCTCCAGCAACTGGTGCGTAACGGTCCCTTTGGAGAGGTGATGTCATTATTAATTATTATTATTATTATTTTCCTCTTTGTAAAAAGAACACTAGAAAATTGTGTCTATTTTTCTAATTAAAGATTTGAGCTAATCTAAGTCCTTGCTGGGGTTGCTCTCTGCCTTTCACTCCTGGGTAACAGTCCTCGCTGGTGGTATTTCTGCTGCGTTTCTGACCTGTAGCTGCTGCATATGGGTAAAAAGGTGCTTAAATAATTAGTAGGGAGAGAAAAAAATTCAATCAGTGCAGTGGGTGGGTTGGTCACCCTCCTCCCAAGCACCCCCAAATGCCCAGGGTGGGTGCCTAATCCTGGGAGAAGCGTCTTGTACTGGGACAGAGAGGGGAAAGGATCCCCACTCCCCAGTGGTGGGAGGACCTCTGAGAAGGGGGGTGTGCCTCCAGGTTTATTCCGGTGGAGCTGAGCCCTGGAGAGATCTGCCCCACCTGGAACCAGACCCACAGGGTCCACTGCAGGGACCCCAAAGCCCAGCCCAGACCCCCCACCTTGGGTTCCTGGTCCCCCGTGGGGTGTGGAGCCGGCTTCACCCACAAGAAATGGGGTGAAACACAGCCCTGCTCCTCATTTTCAACCTGGCACATTCCCAGGGCTGGAGGAGATCCAGGCACCATCAGGCAGAGGCAGGCAGGCAGGATGTGTCCCCCTGTGAAGCCAGGAGGGAGAGTTTTCTCCCTCCCTTTCGCTATTTTAAATGGCAGAGAGATGCTGTTTCCCTTCTCCTGGGAATGCCCAGGGGCTGGGTGGCACAGGAGAAGATGTTGCACCCTGGGGGGTGCCACCGACAGCAGACCCTCCTTCCTCTGGGGGTTAAAAATCAGTTTAAAATCATGCAAGCTCCAAATCTCGTGCTTCTAACAGGAGATGCTCAGGCAGACGGGGCACACCGGTTGTTGGTTTCAATTAATCAGCAGGAGAAGGTGCCCGTGGGAGCAGGGGGAGCTGGGCAGCGAGGACGGGGCAGCGTGTCCCTGGCTCAGGCTCAGCAGTTATCATGGGTGCTCAGGCATTTGGGGCATGGTCAGCCTTTTCTGACAGAGAGGGAAACGGAGGCAGGGGAGGGTCACAGCTGCCAATCTGCTCTCTCTGACTGATTTTGTCCCCTCCACCATCCCTGGAGAGGGGAGATCTGCTCCCCAACCGTGTTATGGAAGAAAGGGGGTTCTCCCTGCCTCATCCCCTCGTGTCCCCCAGCCCTTTGCTGGCACATGGACTGGAGCATCGCAGGACTAAACCCCAGTTATACCATTATCCCAGCAAAATCCACTGCCCCACACTGGACTTGCCATGACATGGGAGGACCCTGTGGAGTTGGGGTGGGGACATGGGGTTCTGCTAGCAGGGATGGGATAGGGAAGGGTCAGAAGGCAACCTCATTGAGAGGGAAATCCTAAATGTCCCCTTAGACCTGTCCCTAAGAGTTCACATCTCTGATGGCATCCAAGGGTGCTCATGCCTCTCAGGTGAGCACCCACCAGCCCCCAGCACCGCTGGCCCCAGCAGCTGGACCATCCCATGGGCATGGGAGCCTGATCCTGAGCAAGGACCACTCCATGGGATGCAGATGGCCCCAGGCAACAGAAAAAAACCCCTTTTTTTTCTGGGGAGGACACCCCAGGTGTCATTAATAAGGACCTCAGCACCCAGGTGCTTCCACTCATTGGAAGGAGGCCATTGTTTGGGCAGCTCTCCACGGGATGTCAGCTCTTGCTGGGCAGTAAACAGCCCTGCTTTCCCCCGTGCCGCTGGCCATGCATGATGCATGAGCCCTTTATTAATACCCCTCCGAAAGTGCATCTATTATTGATGCTGAGTCTGAAAGCTCTGGGAAGGCACCCAGGCTGGAGCCTTCGCCCTCTGGTCCCCTGGCCGGCGTGCTGAGGGGGGGAAGGCGGGGGGGGCACCCATGACAGCAGCTGTGAGCATCTGCTTCTGGAGTGGGATGGGACTGAGCACACGTGCTTGTGTTTTTAGGAGAGGAGGAGAACTTGCACCCTAAAACCTGGGGCTCCTCAGGGATGGGGATAATCTTCACCCCCAGGCCGGCAGCATCCTGGTCCCAATGCTGCCATCTTCCCCCGTGTCAGCATCAGAGACAAGGAGACACATCAGTGGTGGATGCCTTCGGCGCTGGTGACCAAGCTGAGGTGCTCGGGGACAGGATCAGGACCAAGCCAGGGATTAAGCCAGAGTGATCAGGGACCAGATTAGGACTAAGCCAGCGACCAAGGCAAGGTGCTTGGGGACCAGCTGGGGACCAAGCCAGGGCACCCAGAGACTGGATCAGGAGCAAGCTGGGGACCAAGGCAGGATGCTTGAGGACTCAATGAGGACCAAGCCAACGATTAAGCCAGGGTGATCAGGGACCAGACCAGGACCAAGTCAGAGACCAAACCAGGGTTCTTGGGGACTAGCTGAGGAACAAGCCAGGTGCTCGGGGACCAGAACAGGACCAAGCTGGGGTATTCAGGGATTGTTTCAGGACCAAGCCAGGGTTCTTGCAACCATGGGTCCAACTCAGGATGGGGAAGAACAAATGCAGGTCCCCACACTCAGCCATGCACCCCACCCCAGCTCTACCTTTTGGGAGGATGCTCCAGGGGGGTCCCAACCAGGAGCCTGCCAGGGGCAGACGATTCATGGAGGTGGGGGAGAGGAGGGCAAGGGTGGGACCGGGGGGCAGAGAAGCTGCAGGATGAGGCCGGCGGGCTGCCGCATGGCAGCAAGGCCCGGCGGAGGGCCCGCGGTGTTCGTGGGGAGACAGGCAGAGGGAGCTGTGAAGGAGGAAAGCGGCAGAGAGAAACGGTCCGGGCTCAGGCTGCAAAGGAGGAGGAGGAGGCGGCTGCCAGCGCTCGCCCTCCCTCCTTCCCTCCATCCCTCCCTCCCTCGCCCCTGCTTTTGCCATGCACTGCCCCCCCTGAGCCCCGAAGCCACCCGGGGACCCGCCATCCCCAGGGTGCCCAGCAGCCTTCGCTCT